TTTGACTAAATGCTAATTCCTTCAGGGCAGAATTTAAGTCTTAATTAAAAGTCCTTTAAAATTGCATTGAATGTTTCATAAGATTTTACCTTTCTAGCTTTGACTCTTTCTACCCTCATGCCTTCAAGCAGAGTCAACGAGAATGTTTGTAGGTGCTTTTTCCTCATTGTTTTTGGCCAATATTCGATGCGATTTTTTCGAATGCCAACTTGAAAGTGAATGTCCCGAGACACACACACACACAGACACACACAACACACACCATATAGCAGAATATACCTAGGCTTTGCCATTCTGTTTGTTGTTTAGCTGTCTTTTCCCTGACTTTCTTTTTCTCCTTCACTTGTAGTTGCTGTTCTTGTTGTAATGCAAAAAGCGCATCAGACATTTGTATGCATTAGCTGGCAAAACGAACATTTTATGGGTGCTCAAGGCGGACCAGGGGGAGGGAGAGGGGAAGAGGGAAAGCCCCCCCCTGGAAAAGCGAGCCAGAGGAGCTGGGAAATGGCTTTAGCACAAATATGCATGTCGGCACATTCTTGCATAGAATTGCACTTAAATGCAGAAAATGGCACACAGCATAAGCGACGGGGTGAAGGGTTACATGGCCAGTGGAAAGCCCAGGGAAAACCAAGAAAATGCGGACGACAGAGCGAAGAACAGGAGAGAGAGAGAGAGAGAGAGAGAGGGAGAACTTGTTGGGCACTTATAGGGCCATCCCCGAGTACGTCATGAAAATCAGGAAACAGGATATATTAAGTTTGAGGAATGGCCGAACCCTGGACACACTAACACTAACACCCATTGCAGGCCACTGCTGCTGCTGCTGCTGTTGCTGCTGCTGTTGTCGCAACAATAAAACAGCCGCAGCAGCTACTGCGGAGAAAGAGAAGGAGCCGCAGAAGCAGCAGCAGAGCCAGAGCCGTAAAACTGGCCCCTCTGGCCCCGCCCCCAACAGCCTGCGACACTTTTTATTGCCACACATAAAACAGCAGCAACAGCTACAGTGGCAACATATCGCAAAAGTGCTGCCAATTGCTCCATTTTCCAGACATATTCTGGACTTTCCCAAGATGGACTTGAGTGGAAAATTGCTTTTGAAAATTCAGGAGGTTTTAAATCGTTAGAAGAAATATAGAAAAAGTGCTTCTAGGATATGGATCTACTCAGAAAATTGTGTCGACAAACATCTAAAATAAATTTGTAATACACAATTTATTTATTTAAAGAGGATACCATGCCAACAAGACTTTATCCCACTTTAAATGCTTTTAAAATACATTCTAGAATATGGTAAATTACTAAATTAAGCTAAAAGTAATTTTTAGAATATATAAACTATCGAAAAAATAATTAGCTTTGACCATTTCCGTGTAACTTTAAGAATAATTTCTTATTTCTGGCTTCCTTTTGCACCATCACTTGCAAGCAACACCAGCCGGAAAAGTTTGTGCGGCGCTCTCTTTTTTCAATTGCCTGCCACAATTTCTATTAGTGTAAATATGCAAAGTACATGAAGACATGAGGCTCAACTTCCGCTGAGCATGGCAATATAAAATGCAAAATGTAACAATGTTGCTGTTGCTGCTGCTGCTGCTGCTGCTGCTGATGTAGATGTTGCTGCTTCTGCTATTGGCATTCGGAATTACAATTGCTGGTCATATTTAAAAATCTCATTTGAAATCGCTTCGTTTCAGGCAACAGCAGAAGCAGTGGCAGCAAAAACGCTTTTCCCCATTCACACTTCATTTGAGCGGGGAAAGCGGGAAAAGCGGAGGAAATTTAAGGCAGGCGCCATTAAATGAATGGAGAGACGTTTGAAAACAGAGAAGAAACATTAGTGAAGCAAATTGCAATGAGCAGAAAAGCAAAGTGAAAATTCTACTGAATGAACCGGACCAATGCGATGCGAAATAAAAGGGGCTTGGAGGGATTGCAGAAATGCTAATGACTTAATATCCTCCACCCAGGAGATATTCCTTTGAAACGTGTTAATTGCAAATGTTGCCGAACCCCGGTGCCTTCTCCAAACTAAAGCTAAATAATTTTATGATTTGCTCAATTAAATGCTGCTCTCGGCCCTTCATCAGGCAAAGTTTATGTTGTATTGCAATTTATTAGGTAAACAGCTTTTGTATTTTGCAAATTAGCTAGAATTGCGGACTGATTTTGCTTTCAACTTGTATTTCATTGGGAAATCCTATCAATTAATTTACAAATTTAAAACTTTAAAATCCATGAATTGCAATGTGGGTATATTTTCCCCCAATAACAAATACCAATTGATTTAATGGAAATGAGAATATATAACTTCTACCCCCTCCAACCCCTGAAAACCATTCCAGAAATATTACAATTTCCATTCATATTAAAAGTGAAACAGTATTCTATTTTCAGCAGTCTCCATCGAACTCTCTGTTGGGCCGCACTTTCCGCTTATCAAAGACAAATATGAAATATTAATAATCCAGCGAGTTCGGGCCACGGTCATGACTCAAAAGCTCAAAGTTGGCCCAGTGGCGTTGGCGTTGGGGCATTAAAAATGCAAATTTCACCGTCGAGCGGCCAGACTCTATCACTTTAATGCCTTTCACTGCGATTTGGCCCGTCTGGCGACCCGGTCTCCTTTTATTTTTTCATTCCTCCCGGTGAATGCAACACGTGCGCCATAAATCATCTCGGGAGGCGTCGGTCCCCGGTCCCCATTGCGACCACGATGGCCTCCACTTTCAGCTGGCGGACGGAATATGGTGGGCTTTTGGTGGGCGGATGGCTCTGGCTCTGGCTCTGGTAGGTGGGATCACTAAGCGCCCGTGGCGAGCCAATTTCAAAAATCAAATCAAAAATAGTTTGCAAAGTTCCAAGTGCTTTAACTCGCGGCAAACAATGCAACAAATTGCAGCCGGCGAAGGAGGAACTTTGTAATTGTCTACCACTGGAGACACGTGGGCGCCATGTCACCTTCATGAGGCTCCACCGCTAGCTTCTCCCCTTGTCTCCCTTTGTTCCCTCTGGGCCATAATAGACAGCCACAAGTCTAAGGAATGGCCCGTGAAATTCCTGATGCGTTGGCATAACAGGAATCGTGGTCGCGAAAAGTAAGGGCTGCGGGTCTTGAAAATATATGAGCATGAGAAAAATAATGGGGGACATAAGGCGATCATGTAACACAGGCTATTAGAGCAGCTTTATAAAGGCTGTGGAATGAAAACTTTTTATTATATCCCATTGGTATCTTAAATAGTTTGAGGAATATATTTCTATAAGTATTATATACCCTTTTAAAGAAGATACTAAACGGAATAATGATTAAGTAGTCATTAAAAAGCATAACAAAAGTCATGTGAAGTTATCAAGGCGTAGAAGAGACTGAAGATGCACCATTAACATATTATTATTAGCATTATTAATATATCTTCTATATCACTCTATAAACACCCCAATTAAAAGGTATAATGTTTACTAAACTATTAAAATACGGATATTCAGCAGGTCACAACCCATTCTGCCACCTTTAAAGACAAATAGACTCATACCCTTTCACTTTAGTTGAGTTCAACTCAACCGAACCCAACTTGATTCCCTGATGGACACAAGTTTTTCTCCATCGTCGAAATTTAATTGAATGAAAACTTTTTGTCCGTCTATGAGTAGCGTTCCCCGGCTCCTGTGCCGCTTTATCCCAGTGTGCCGCCTGTTAATTTGCTTTGAATGAAGTCGAACATGTGTGTGCGCCACGCCTCCTCTGGGCGCTCCACCTGGAGGAGCAAATGCATATGAGGAGGGACTGTGAATGCGAATGTGTGACGGTGGATGCAACTATGAATGTGAATAGTTCGCTGCAGTTAAAAAAAATAGAGGTGTATATCTCACGGAGATCTATCCATCAAGGCTGTAATACAAGTGTTTTCATTACTTCCTGACTTGCAGAAAAACACATATTTCCCCTGCTTAAAGTTATTCAAATATATTTGCCAATATAAATTTCTTGCTGTGTGACATATCGCTGTGCGTTGCTGCCATTTGTGGGTGCAAATGTCACGTTGACTTGGCCTGCTAGTCGTTTTAGCTGTAGTTGTAGCTGTCGTTTTGTTTGCCGCGCTGCTACGTGCCAAAGGGGGGCTTGGTGGCATGGTGGCATGGTGGCCCGGTGGCTCGGTGGCTCATCCGGCAGGGTGGGTGGCAGAGCGTGTGCCGTTGACAGGGAGACTGTGTCAAAGGGTCTGACTGCCATTGCCGCTCCGCCAGATGCTTGATTATGGTGTTAACCCCTGCGTGAACTGGCACCAGGTGCGACCCCTGGCCCTAACCTACTACTACTACTGCTATAGTAGTTATATATATACTCTATATGGCCGCCCTTCCATTTCAGTCGCATTCAAATGCCGGCCCGACGTTTCAATTGGCTCACACACAACCCCTCTTCTGGCCAAAAGCGTTTTCATGCTTGTTAGAATATTTGTATAATGCATAAAGTGTCGCCAACTTTGCGTATACGTAATGTGCAATGTGGCAAACTCCGTAGACCGTGCCGTGATGATGAGCAATTAGCAAACAATTGCAGAATTTTCATGTTCAGTCACAGAGTCCAGCGGGTGAGTGAATGCCACAGATAATGGCAGTGAAAAGGATGTCAACGAATGTAAAAGACTCTTTTTTCTAGGGAGTTTATAAATACTTTAGAGTAGAGGATGTGGTTACTGTCTGTCTGTGGTGTGTAACTTGTTTCCCTTTTAGTTAGAGAATTATAAAAACAAATCTATAGAAGTTTTGATTGCTATATAGAAAACCTTAGGGTCATTGTTTAATTTTTAGAATTTACAGCTTTCAAAGATATAATTTAATCACCGAATACTCTTGTCTAGAGTCCACTGGGAAGCCATTTAGCTAATGAAACTGAAGCTGGAGCTGCGGAAAAACTGCTGGTCTTGCCAAAGTCGCAACTTTCCGCTCATAATTAAAAGTCAACTGTGTGGGGGGTTTTTTTTGTGAGTACTCACCAGTTGGCGCAGCGCTGACAGGATTCGCAGTGACATGCGGCGACCCGACGTCCACGGCTGGCAGTAATAATTTCGAGGATGCAGCTACGTTGTCGCCGCTGTCAAATATTTGGGGTCCTGGAACGACATCTTCATAATGCAAACTATCCGGCTTTGCTGTCGCGGAAGCTGTAAAGTTATACTGCTCATCAGCAGCTCCAGCCTCCTGCTGATCTGGTAGCAATGTTGCCGCTGCGCCGGATGATGTTGCTGCCGCTCCTGACGACGTGGTTGCTGCTGCTGCAGCTGCAGCTGCATTTCGCTTGCGATTGTAGTATTCGTAGTTGGTTTTCGTGGCAGCGGCAACACAGACATCGCCGCCATCATCAGTTGTCGCCGCTGTCACAGTCGTGGCTATGACTTTATCCTCGACCATAAATTGCACTTTTTTGCGTGAGCCCGGCGTGATTGTAGTTGCTCCTCCAGTGGGAGTGGGTGTGGATGTGGCTGTGGGCGTGAGTGTTGATGTGTCCAGGGGCGGAGATCCCGAGCTCGAGCCCGAGCCCGAGCCCGTTCCCGTTGGCGTCGGTATATAGAACTGCGACTTGCCCGAGGGCGTTGCCTGGCCAGAAATGTCAGCCGACGGCGGCGGCAGCGGCGGCGGAGCCGAGACAGACAGGTCCAGAGTGACGGGACGCTTCAGAATGGACTTCAGAGCAGATTCCGTGGGCGTCACAGTGAGCACTGTGTAGGGGGAATCATCGACCTCCGCCTCCTCCTCCTCGTCAGTGGCAGTAGTGGCTTTTACTGGAGCTGGAGGGCTCGCTGCTGGAGGACTGCTAGCTGGAGCTGGAAGAGTTGCAGCTGCAGCAGTTCCCACTGTTACCTCCGCGGGCTCATCCATCTTCTTGTTGCGCGGCGGTCGACGCGGTCCATTGGTCGTCGCTGCATCTCCACCGGAGACTATCATAATTCGCTCGTAACTGTCACCCGGATCGGAGGCGTCCTTCTCGCCCAGACTAATCCGCTGGCCGGCGATGGCCGTCACATTGCCGCTGTAGAATTTGCTGCTGGTCCGCTGCTGGCGCTCCACGGCATCGTCGTTGAGTTGGGCATCCGCCACATCGAATTCGTCGTTGGGCTTCCTCAGGTTACGCTGCAGTTCGCTTGAGATCAGGTCATAGGGATTGACGTGGCATCGGAGGATGGACCGCCGGTTGGAGGCCCTACTAGATGCCAGGCCGCTGCTCTGGAGCAGAGATTCGTTGTCCTCCATTAGCCAGCAGTCCGTGGGATCCACTAGGGAGGAGGGAGTGGCTGCCGTTTTGGAAACGGAGCTCATGACGGGCGGCGGCGGTGGTGCCCGGGTGCGAGTGCGACCCCTGGTTGGATTCCCAGCCGGCTCACTGCGGCTACGTGACTTGCCGTCCGCATCCTTGGAGCTCGGCTCCGGGGACAGGAGTCGCGTGCGCCGCATCAGGTCATAGGGATCCTTCTGCGGATCCAGAATGGAGGGACGTGATTTCTTCGTGGCACTCACCACACGCATCGTGGCGGACATGGGTCGCCGCGAGGAGGACGCGTTGCCACTGCCGCTGACAGCTGGCAGTCGCACGGTGCCCCCAGCTGCTCCTCCGATGTTGGCCAGCGGCAGACGGGAGCCCTTGCACTTCTTGCACACGCTCGCCTTCTTCACGTCACGTTTTGTGCCGTTCAAGTACTCGGCACAGGAGCAGATCACCACGGCCAGAGCTGTGGTTCCCGGCATACCCTCTGCCGCCGCAAAAATGGCTGCCGCATGGGGATGATATCCGTAAGAGGGCCTGGCCGGGATACCCCTCACCGTTCCGTAGATCCAGGGCTCCGCATACTTCATGGAGCGCGACAGGGCGCTGGGCAGGAACTCGGCGCCGGGCACAGGTGGGAGCTGGTAGGCGGTCACCATCTGGTGATGACCATGGTGGGGCAAGTGTTGCTGCTGCTGCTGGAGTTGCTGCTGTTGCAGGTGCTGCTGCTGATGCTGCTGGTGTTGGTGCTGCATGTGCAGCTGCAACTGCTGCATGGCCTGCATCCCGCTGACGGCCGCTAAAGAGGCGTTCTTGTCCACAGTGTCACCGCTGCCGAGCGTCTTGAGCCGCTGACTCCACGATTTCTTGGACTTGTCGTACATGAGCTGGTGGGTAGGGAATCCAAGTGTAAATATCAATATTAAATAAAGTAAAAATAGTTCAAACTTAAAGTAAAAGTTTAAGATTGAACTAACTTTCATTTAGTAAGTACTTTTGATCTTTCACTATCCTGTTACCAGGTTTCAGAATAATCAAAAAAACTTATTTTCTTTAGTGGGTTAGTAGGTTAGATAAATAAAGTAGGGCTCACTAACCTTTCTGTCTTCGCTGCTAGTGCGCTCATAATATCCAATTTAAATTAATGGCTTCGATGCACTCTGTCCTTTGTTGTCCATCAGCTGAAAACCGCCTGCTGCCTGAAACAAAAAAAGAGAGATAAAAAACGGAGAAATTATTAAAGCGCAACGCGTCCAGCGGGAAATCCGTTTAGAAAAGTTTTATTATTGAAAAAGTTTAAAATGCGATTATGTGTGTGTTAGACAGAAGGAGAGAAAGAGTGTGAGTGAGTTAGGGTTTCTGTGTTGTTTGTGCTTGCTCTCGGGTCTGCTAATGAAAAATGGCCCAGATTAGCTAGGAAATTGATCCATTTTACGGCCACAAAATACTTTATGTTTACCTTAATTAATTAAGCTCTTAAATCGCTATAAAATAATTCGAATTTTTGTACGTTCAAGAATTGCCACAATACGGTTTTCTTGCAGACCCAAAACTCAATTTGCCACACACAAATCCCAAGCAATTTCTCACAATTCTCCAGCTTATTCCTGCCAAATCAAATAAACCAGTCAAAGGAATATAAACCGCATTCACAAGGCTCTGCTTTCTTTTTCTTGTGTTACTTTTTCGGGAAAGTTCTTTTCGGAGAAAGCAGAGTGCAGATTGCCGAGAGAGTTGCCAACGAGCAACACCTCCTACACACTGGCTGAAAGGCAGCGGGCAACTTTGTTTTCATTTCGCCAGTGAATTTTTGTCATCATCGTGACCACTTTTCACAATCACAAGAGGCAACTGGACGAAGCGACGGGCCAGAATCTTTTTCTTGTTGCGATTGTTGCACAGCTATGGCAACTTTCGAGACGTGCACTGAGAAAAAGTGGGTTTAATAAGGCTAAGCAATGTATTCAATGTTCTTTCAATAGAATAGCATTTATTCACATTAACATTTCATATTTATCGAAAAGGGTTACATGCCCTTGGCAACATTTTCTTGTGCATTCCGCCTAGTTGGATTTAACTTCTCAAAAATTAAAGCATTATTAGACAATGTCCATCAAACATTGAATTAAAATCTTAAAGATCTGAATGTTTACTAAATCTTTTATATATTATATACTAGAGTTTTCCGCAAGTGTACATGTTGCTATGTTGTTCGTGATGTTGCTATAGCATCCTGCAACCGGCTGCTTGACGTTGCGGATATTAATCAAAATGCGGAGCGGACTCGCACTCGCACTTGGGACTCCAACTCGAAGTCGGACTCCCACGCGACGTCCGGACAAAAGCCGAGAGAGGTGTTGGCACACTTTAGACCTGGCTTAGTCTCGGTCTTGGCCAGAGTTTCTTTTCTTGGCCATTTCTGGTCCGCTGTTCTGTTTCTTGAGGTGACTGGTGCCTGGTGCCTGATGCTTACCCTGGCCTGGCCTCAAAACACGTCCCGCTGCCCGTTGAAAAATGTTGATAAATGTTGACAATTTTTCCGGCAACCACTCGTGATAAATCTAATTTTTCTCTGGCTCTCTGGCTCGCCTTCAACTTCCCTTCAGCGTGTTTTGTTGTGTACTATGTGTTGTGTGTGTCGCTGCATTGTTGTCACCAACCAGCAACTAGCAATTGTTGCTGTTGCTGCTGTTGTTGGGGTGTTGCTGTTGTGACTGTTGCTCTCTTGCAGTTTTGATAACATGGCAGCTCCTTGTTGTTGTTCTGGCTCTTGTGTAGGTGTGAAGTAAAATTAAAAACGTGTCATTTTTTGCTTTATCGCTTGACGCGGTGGCGCCCATGGGCAAAGTATCGCAGAATCAACATCAGCAGCAACACAACACGGAGCAGCAATGGCGAAACATGAACAGGAGCAGCAGCAGCAGCAACATGAGCGGGATTCGGGGGCAGGGTTGAAATTTAAGCCACTTTTGTTTGTTGCCGGTTTGACTGATGGCAGGCGGGGGGAGGGGGATTTGGAAATGGTAAATATGCGAGGGGAGGGGCACTTCCTGCACAAATAACGCTCATACGCCACGTGGGTGGTAAGTAAATACAAATTCCTGAGTGTTCTACAATGGTTTCTGAATGCTGAGTTTAGTTTGTTTTGTGGCATTATATATTTTATACTTTTTTAAATGCAAATTAAGTATTATTTCCTTTATCTACTTTTATTTTCTCTTTACCATTATAAATGTTAAAGCTTCATTATATTGATTGTTTTTGTTTTCTTGTGAAAGTCTTTCACTTTTGTCTACGTTTTCTTCTTAAGTCGCTGCTCTCCATTCATTTTTCACCTGGCTTAATCAGCAATCAAAGAAAAGAATTTACATTTAAGCGGATTTATGCTGTAATTAAGCACTTGGATTGTCTCTTTTCCGGCTGGCTTTGGCCAAGTCCGTTTTCTTAGCAGCTTCATAATTTTTCACGCTCAATTGGCTACCTTTGCTGGCCGTTTTTTTCTCTATATATATTTCTTTTATTCGCCGCATTTGCGCCAAATGCAATTTGTCATTATAAATTTACGTCAGTTTAGGCAAAGGCAAAGGGAAAGACGCAGCCAAGTTGCACAAAACTTTGCCATCGAGAGAGAAACTCTGGGAGGAGAAGCAGAAGAAAAAAAAACCGAACTACTGCATTTTTCAATATATTTTCAAGATGACTCTGGGTAAGTTTTTCCCCTCTCCCCAATTCTCGTACTTGTTCTCGCTTTCGTTTTCGCTTTTTGTTATTGTCTTGGCCCCCGGGCAGTTAGGTGTCGGTTTCAAGCCACCCAGAAAACTTGGCCATGCCGCAGATTGATGGTCATATGAAAAAGTAGTTAACGCCCAATCGAAACTCCAGTTGCAGTTGCAGTCGGGCTAATTAAGTGACTGAGGGTTAAAGTTTAATATAAATTCGAGTGATCATTTGTCCATTTGCAGGCGAAACAAGCGTAGAGATGGGTAAACGCAACGATATATCGATATCAAGTTAGTTATGTTATACTATTTTATGAAACTATGTTAAATGCTTTCAAGAATTTTCCTGTCTTTAAAGAATTTTACTTAAAAATATTACGATTCTAGGTTCTAAAATTATTATCCACATTTCATTGATATTAACGAACTACCTTGATTTAAATCATATACAACTTGTTTCAAATAATACATTTCCTAAACAATAATAAATACGATAGTTGGTCAAAATATCATATAACATTTTTCCTTTCGATATACAATCCCTAGGAAAAAAACATTTAAAATGCAATTACAGCTGCAGCTGCAGCAGAAACAAAAGAGCTCTGGGAAAATGGGAAAATATACATATATATATATAAATGTGAGTATATTCCATTGATGCGGGCATATGCTGGCCGTTGGATTGGGATCATGCCATAAGCGGATTAGTTAGACATCAGACATCCAGCCGGCAGCAGCAGCAGCTCTCGTTGCTCAGGTAACGCAGGTAACTCGCAGGCAACCACCGACACACAGACACATCAAGCATACGCTCCGTTGTGCAGCTCTAAATTAACAATTTCATTTAGCTGTTTGCCGGCGACTTAATTTATTCAAGTGATGACGATGCCGACAACGGCGCCACCGCCACTACTGCAGTCAGCTAAGAAAAATTGGCCAGGAGGGGGAAAGGGGATGAGCTGGGAGAGATGCAGAGATGGAGCATCAGGAGCTTGGAAGAACAGGGAGAACCAGAGGACGACGACATAATCACCGCTTTGGAGCGCCAAATTTACGCGTTGCAAACGCTCGGCTAAGCTCGGCCCAGGCTAAGAAACATAAAATTGAGCGGGTAGAGCAGACACTAAAAAAGGATCTATGAAACAAAAAGGAACACTGTGGGAAAATATTGAAAATTAAATGATGTAATGATATTTTCATTGCAGAAAAGAAAGAAGTACAGAAGGAAGAGAACTAGTGCTCTAAAGAATATAACATTCACAAGGATATTAAACACAAGCTATTTTATATCTTTAAAATAGCCTTCAATGTAGGTTAAAGTCCTTAAACCTTTTACATATAATATTATATGTATATGTTTTTTTTTGCTAGTTAAACTCCCTTTTCTAGCGCCCGTTAAGCGTTGCAGTGGAAAGAACCGCTTAGTTCTGAGCATGAGCATCAGCTGCCTTAAGTCCTGGCTGATGGCGACGTGTGCAACTTTGATGCTGCTTCCTGCACCAGCTCAGGCCCCACCTCCCAGCTCCTGCTCCCGCTCTCGCTCCTGCTTCTGTTGCAGCTGCCACAGGCGGTTGCCAAAAGAACCCGACGGATGCGCCGACGAAGATGAAGTGGCTGACGGCTGACGGGCAGGAAAAGTGGAGCAGGAGCAGGAGCAGGAGCAGGAGATGGAGCGGAAGGGGCCAAAGCCGTCTGAGCCGGCACTCTATTTATATTGAATTAAATTTATTGAAAAACCTAATGAGCTATCTTTCCGGCCATCAGTTGGCAGCTCGTTTCGGCCACAATGCACTCTGCAGCGCCAAACAGTCGGCAGATTTATGCTTAGACAAATTAATTTATGCGCCAGACAGTTAAGTAAATTACGACAGACATAAATTGCGAAACCAAAAGGCAAAGGAAACGAAACGAAAGGCAGGGAACTTTTGGGCATTAAAGTAATTTAGTAAAACGTTCGCATGGCTTTTCGAGGGGCAGACGACGGCAACGACAACGAAGACGACGACAAACTAATTGAATTTGCTACTTAGTGAAATGTGAAATGTTAACAACTCTTGTGCTACATTTGCTTGTAGGCTGAAGGCGGTGTGGCAAACTTTCCTAAGTTGCCTTAAAGTGCTGGAGTTGCTGTTGCACCAGCAGCCATTAAATTTGCGCAATTAACCAGACGCCGACGCAGAATGCGACTGTGTCTGCCCCGAGTTTTGCACACAAGTTTGCTAAACTAATTAAAATGCATATTCCACTGCCGGCAGCAACATAAATGCGAAAAGTTTCGCTTAGACGCCAAGTAACAGGCAACAATGCAACATGCCAGGATAGGTAAACAAATGACAGTCTAAGTCGCATAGCAACAGCAGCAGCAACATCACCAGGAGCAGCAACATCCTCCACATGCAACCAACCACTGGACAGGAGAGATGGGAGACAGGAGACTCGACGTTGATGACAGTTTTGTCCTGGCCTGCTGCTCCTGCTCCGTGCTCCTGTCCCTGCAATTTGTATAACATGCTGGGCAGTTCCTGCCAACTTCTACTGTGCTCTGCTCTGCCCCTCGCATTTTGTTAAAGCAAAACTTTTTGTAAACTCATTAGGGCAGTTGGCCAAGCAGGCAGCCGAGCGACTGCGCTAACCAAACGGGCCAAAGCCAAGCCGACAACAAGGCCAACAACAAGGCCGGCACGGAAGGCAACTTTTTGAAAGAAAACAGCAAGCCTGCGTCAGGAATACAGAGAAAAATTCGAAATTAAACTAGCTACTTAAACAATTAAAATGTAAAGCAATAAAAAATAGTTACAAACTAGTTCAAATTATATTTAAATGAATTTAAAGTGTAGATATTTATCATTTCTCGTTATAAATCCTCATCAATGAACATTTTTTCTGTCCGTGTCTTAGATGAGATGATGATGGGGGGATGCTGGGTAACCCGACTGGGTCTGGGGACAGTTACTGGGGCACAGGACCTGGACCTGGACCCGAAGTGAACACCGGGATAAACAAAAGGCAAAAGACCGGGCCAAGATAAACAGGCAACTTCTTATGCAGGCCCGGCTTACTGTCGCTTTTCATGCGGCTAAACATGCCCGACGGTGCAGTTGAAATTTTATTTATTGCATTAACTCGAGAACGCAGGCGTTGCCCCGGCGGTTACCGTAATAAATATAATGAAAATGATGATCATAATGAAGCACACTAATCGACGGCTGCCGCTTTAAGTTCTATGTGGCTTGAAGTCGAGAGGAAAATTGATTTAAATCGACAGGCGACAGGCAACGGACGACGGGAAGTTTGAACGATTAAGCGACGATAAATAAATAAATTTTATAGAAAATTAAATAACATATGGCAGAGGCTGCTGACTGAGTTGCAGTTGGGATTTTCCTTTGGCAAGGAAATTGATTGTGTGGAAAATTTAATGTGCGGGCGGACATTTTTCATAGCATACTTTTGAGTGTTTGCAAATTGCATCGTCCACACACTGCATAATTGCGAGCATATGTAAAACAACACCCGGCACACACACACTGTGTGTATTTTAATTGTTAACACTCACATTCACTTTGGCTGAGGTCTCTGTTTGAACATCGCAACCCATTTCGATAATAAAATTGACTTACTGGCCGCATTATGTGCGCCATTCATTTATTATGCCGCATGGCAAGGCGACGGGGCCAGCATTTATTAATATTATTTGAGTGAAAATAATGATGTTGGTGTTAAGTTAAGTGTAAAGCACTTTGTGAAAATTATTTTCCAATTAAATGGGGTAATCCCCCCCCCACACCAGCAATCAATCCCCATGCGAGTTTCTTTGGCAGCAGAAAAAAACTTAAATTCGCTTGCAAGTTTAATGCGACCGAAATACTCATAAATTCCTAATGAATTGTGGTCGAGATAAGGACCAAAATGCGGGCCAGGATGATTTGTCTTGACACGTGTCAAGATGCTGCTGCACAGAGAACTCAATTAGTGAATGCCACAAATTGGCCTCAGCTGATAGTTACATTGAGGTTGCCTTCTGTCCACACAGATGATGTCGGTGGTGTCTCCATTCATTTCTGCAGATTCCAAAGTTGTGACAGGCCAAAAATAATATTTACAGCTGCGGTCAAAATAATGACACAGAAGATATGACATTCTTGATTAATCGAAAATCGAAAACTTTGACTTTTAAGTCCTATTTATCAAGTTAATGTTGTATTTTAATTATTGAGCTGTGGTCAGTGAGTTATTTGACATTTTTGAGTGGGCTTGAGGCTATTAATAAAAGTGAAGGGGGAATATATAATTAAAAGAGTATTTAGAGATTTTTTTAAATTGGCTTATTTATTTTATAAACATATTTATAACTTCAAGTCTAGCTTAAAAAGTACTTTAATGGATTAATATTAAGCTTAGTATGATTTATGCAGTGCCCGCCACTTAAACTATGGAATGTATTCTCTGCTAATTAGCAATTACTTGGAGATTTAAAAGTTAAAATTTATGAACTAAACAATCGAGTCATTCTTGAGCCTAAGCTTAAATCATAGTCAGAACTGATTGCTTCAGGGGATTCCTTTGATTCACAGCTCGGTGCTTTCCATTTTGGGATTGGCATTCTTGATTCCCAGACTCTTCAGTTTCCGGAGGCGCATTATCTGATGTTTTAGCTTATGCCGGAACACAATCTGATTGTTCACTGTCTTTAGCTCATCGATGCTGCATCCTTTAAGATTCCTCACTGTCTTGGAGAGCAGGGTATCCGTGATGCAGTACTTGGCCTTGGACAGACGAATGTACTCCACATTTCGCTGGGCGAGTTGCTGGCGATAAAGGTACAAGTGATAACCAACGCTGGGTTTCTGATGCTGCTGGAAGCGATGAGGTTGTTGCTGCTCCTGGGAACTGGATAATGATGACTTGTTGTCTTCTTCATTGATTAGCTTCTGGTAGCGAGGCATTTTTTGTTGTTTATTTATTGAACTAGGTTCCAATAAAATCGGAGATGTATTGCAGATTCCTTTAAATATATGGAATCCTTCAAGACTTAAACTTGAATAGCTACTAGGATTTCCTTATATTCCAAATAATGTTGTTTCCAAATGCAATATGTAAATGTTGCTTGCTCAACGTTTGCTGATCGTTTGATGCCTCTTCCAGTGCTGCAATTGCTTTTTATACACCTCAGGGCAGCCCACTCCCACTACCTGTCCTCCAGCGATCTCGACTTTTTTGGTACCCCTGATACCCGTAGTACCTGGGGGCTACCTGCCCTTTTGACTTATGCCCGGCGGCTGGCGTAATAAAAAACAATTCATTCTTAATCTGCCATCCGCCATAAAGTTTTCGTATTTTGCAAACACTTTCATTCTTAATCCGTTCCACTAATCCGCCCACGCGGCCGCCCTGGCAATTTACAAAAAAGAAAACGAATATATTTTCATCTCAACTGGCGCGTATAAAAAGATTAAGTGACATTACACAACGTATTTTCCCAAGCAGCTGAAAATGTTCGATGAGCATGCACTGTCATGCCGAGGAAAGGGTAAACTGCAAGGAAGGATGCCAGCCGAGCAGGATTAGCGAGCGGACACAGCTGCTCCGCCTTCAAGGATTCATTAATGATCTCCGAGAAAGACGGCAGATATATGTCGATTTCATCCATGAATATTTCAATCTTACACGGCACAAAAAGTGCTGCTCTATAAGTGTAAGACTTCTCTTAAACTAAAGTCATAGTAAACCATAAAACTATTGTTTAATTTATAATTAAATATAGCTGTGTTAGTGATAGAATTATATGCGAAAGGAATTAATCCCGATTTCAGTTTATTTCATTTTTTAATGGCTTTTTTTACTTTGTAAAATAATTCTCCATTTTTTATTGTCCCCACAACTTATTCTGCTAATCCTTTCACTGTAGTTTTTCCTGGAAAAATGACTTGCCAGTTGAGAATCACCGAGATCAACTTTCATAACTGCCTTGTCACTGAGAGGAGAGGAGAGGTCAGCGGGTGCGGTGGAAAAGTGCACTCTGGGTAAAATGGAATGGAAAATGTCGCATAGATTTCATTGCAACTTTTTCGCATTTTCACATTCCTTGCCTTTGCATAAACCATCATGTCAAATTCTTGATCAAATAAAACAAAGTTCAACCTACTTTTTCTATATTCCGAGCTAAAATAAATACGAGCGGAAAAGAAGAAGGGCGGGCTGGCAGGCAACAAAAATAAAAGAAATTCAAAGAAGGTGGCAAGAAAGTGATAGACCTCTGGCAAAATTATGGCAAACTTTAGCTTTTCCCCTTAAAGCTAACGAGACGAAACGAAACTTTTGCAAGTTGAATGTTGAAATAAGCAATTTTCGCGTTCAACTATGGCGCTCATAGATATAGATATAGATATAGATACAGACTAGACAAGATGGGGCTGGAGAGAAGAAATAGAAAAAAAGATTGAAAAGTAATTGCATTCAAGAGCTTGTAGTTAAAAATGTATGGCCATAGTGCACAAGAATCTAGCGGAGTGGGCTATATAAAAAAATGATGCTACTGCCGCTGATGCTGATGCTGATGCTGTTGGTGTTGGTGTTGCTGTTGGTTTTACTGCTGGGAAATATTGAAAATGTAATTCCAACTGTTGTCTGCCCTCTGATGGTAATTGCAAAAACCGGGAGCAGCTCGAACGGCAGTATTACCAGAAGCGAAAGCAGCTCGAAATAAAAGTAAGTTAAATTGAAAATGAAATGCAATCAGCTTGGGCTCTTTGGACCACTTCTTTGGCCATCTCTGTAAAGGTATCTCAATCTGTGTCTGTATCTCTTGGATGCATTTCAATTTCGCAGTTGCATTATTAACGCAAGGTGTGAACATTTTAGCCGTGTAATTGACATGGCAATATCAGATGCAATTTTCACATTAAAATTCCTTCTCGGCAAATCTCTGGGCTTAACAACTGGGGAGGAAAAAGATATAGAACTAAAGAAGAAAAATAGTTTACAATGGGAACGTGAAGGTATATTTACAACTTGAGGGAAAGCCATATTTTGTCAGATTTAAAAACGAGGCTTAAAAAGTTGTAAAGTATATATAAATATCAAATAATTAATTAACAAGAAATTTGGCAGTTACTTATAAGATGGGTTTGAAGTTGCATTCCATCATTACTCTGCTGTTATAAAAACTTGTAGGTTTAAGAATAAGATGTAGTTATCAAACCAATTCTAAAAATATATTTACTTTCCAAAGATAGCGTTATTTGTAACAAATGTCAGCAAATCTATGAAATATAATTCAGAGTTATTAAGGAAATATTGCCCTAAGAGTCTGATTAAATTCTGTATGCAAACTTTTGAACAAAAGGTATCTTAAATACCAAACCGCTTAAGGCGTTAGCTTAAATTTATTTTTCCTTCTTCAATGACTTTTTTTGCGTACATTTCTTCCGGTGCAATTTTCAGGCAATTTTTGGCAATTTATGATGGGCAAACATTCAGTGCCCACTTTTCGGCCTCGTTTAATGGCTTATTTTCCTAGGATATTTGTACAAATTTTCCTCTCCATCTAGCTGCACATCCCGTATGCACAGGTGGAGCCAAGTCAGGAGCTTTGCCGAGTGCACAATGAAATTGAAACATATTAAGGAGAGCTCTCTGGACGAGGACCAAGGCGGAGATGGAGATGGAGGCGGGGTCGGAGGCAGAAGCACAGAAGACCAGGGATTGCAAATTGAATTGAATTGGAAGCTGGTGCATCCTTAAAGCCTGGCTAAAACCACAGTACCGAAATGCAGTGTCACAACAGAAGACAGTGGAGGAGACACTTATCGCCCAATTAAAATGTCATAAATCAGCTGACGGGGACAAGTTTGATTTGACAGCTCGGCGCGGATTTCCCAGCTCAGCGTTAATTTTGCCCTGGTACGTACGGTGTTCGGACATGATAAGCAGACACTAGAGAGTGCTTCCAGTATAAATCAAATCAAATGACAATTAAAGCACCATTCAAAGGAAAATGCCACCCATTCCAATGCGGGGCACATGCGAAAAATGCAGCTGGTGAAAATTCGCGGATTAAAAGCGACTACGAAGTGGGTTAGTGGCGGCAATTAATTAAGGCAAAACGCGACATTGCTCAAAAGTATGCAACACACGAACCGCAAAGGCAATGAAATATTGCAATCACTAAAAGAATGAAAAGCCACGGAAAGGAAGAGGAGGGTACGGGGGGACGACCGGTTACCCAGTGAAAAATCCAGGGCCGCCTGCAGCTTTGAGGTTTCCACTCCCTCTCTCCCCTCTGCAGCTCCATTTCCCTCAACATCTCCATCTTCATCTCCGTCTCAGAGTTTTCCTTCTTGGCCGTCGTCTCGGTTGGCTGCCTGACGCCCGCTTGCCAAAATTAGTTTCTGTGTCAAAAGTTTGAAATGAGCAAGCTCCTCTTCGCCACTGATGCACAGGAAAAAATATTTTTGTCTTTGTGAAATAATTAAGAGGATCTTATAGCACATTTTCATAAATTTATTATGAGAACTGCCTGTATTCTATATATGTTTCAGCCAAGTCTTTTTGTACTGAGGGAAATATATATAGATATATTAAATCTTAAACTTCTGACCATTTCAAAAGGTTATAATGATATAATGAACTGGTTAAAAAAATTACCATAATGTTGATTTTAATCTTAAATAAATTCTTACAATAAATTAATTGTAATTTCAACTTGTGATTGCAACAATCTAACTTAAATCCTTAGAAAATTTAAATTAGAAGCAGCATCACTTGGAAAGGAAAGTAATCAAGATTTAATTGCACCAAACAAAGGAACTATAATCCTATTGAAATTCAAGAAATTAATATCAAACACCTTCTTGATAAGTATGGATTTTAATTTCAGAAAAAATCACATTAATATTCATTATTGTGCTATAAAAAAAACATAAAACAAATCCGATATTTCCACACTTTTTTCGGTGTTGTCGGAAAAACTAACCAACGGATGCCAGAGGAAAAACTACTCGACGATGGGTTACCGAGCGGGTGAGAGGACAAAGTTTGCGCTGCGCTGATGTAGTTAAGAATTGGCAGCAAATGCTGCTTAATTTCAAAAGAAACTTTACGTATTTGTCATGCGGCGCACATTCATTGCGGTGTTCATTTGAGCGCTCATTCAGGCGGCGACACAGAACCGGAGGAAGAACCCGGGAAGAGTCCAGGCTCTGGGACGTTGACAAACGTTGCCTTGGTCACTCTAGAAGGAGGATAAAGAGGAGGAGGAGGAGCTTAGCTCAAGATGCTGATGATGACCAAGATGATTCTGCAACGGACACTCGTTTAATAATTCATCAGAATCACAGCCAAAGAAGTGGCGATGTGGAATTCGCGTTAATTTGCGGTCGTCGAGTATTGAGTGCGGTCACTCTACTCTCTCTCTCTCTCTCTCTCTCTCTTGCCTCACTCACGCACTCTTCTTTGGCGCTTGTGCGCCTCATTTCCTGTGGCCGACTGCCATTTGACTTGCAGTTTCCGTTTCCGTTTCAATGACGCTTTGATTGGCCTTGCGGTATCCGCTCCCCACCCCCTCTTTCTTTCTACGCCAAGGTTTGACTATTAGGCGATAATTATTTGTGTGTGTGTGTGTGTGTGTGTGTGGGTAAAGCACCGCTGACCGCATCGCAAACTTTCGAGGTTTGGCGGCCACTTCAAATGCGTCTTGTGTTTGTCCAAGAGTTCTTTTTGGCCATTATTAATGACAGATGCCTGATATATCACCCTGGAGCAATGGTTTTAATTAAAGAAAGTCAAGGCTAAACCAAAAATAGCTGACATTGCGTTAATTGTTTCTTATAAATAAAGCAAAATAACATTATAACGAAGATTGAATAATAAATAATAATAAAGAGAAGAGGGAAGCATAAATTAAACTTGTCAATGCCTTTAAGGGGAAATGTTATCATTACGACTTCCTAAATGCATAAAATAATAATAAAAGCAATATACTTTGAAGTCTTACATCACAAAAACAAAAACAGGATGCATCATAAAAAACTACGAAATTTACTTTACAATAATTATTATTTTAATAAATTCAAACTTTCGAATGAAACTTTCATCATACTTCTCTGTGAAAATGATAGGCTTGGGAATTCAAAAACTAATTTGCTAAAACTTTACTAGTTAAAAGATATTTCATTAAAAAAAAACAAAAACTATCATTCAAAGGCCGCCAAACAAGCTTTGTGAGCAACTATTGATCCAGTTTGACTCTTTAACGGAAGGAATAAATAAATATTTGATTGCAAATCCAAATCTGTTTGACGGCGGCACACACAAACTGGCCAAAACAACCGTCTCGAGTCTCAAAAGACCAAATAAATAAAACAGATTAAATTTGACTTGGCGTGCCATGCAAATAAATACGTGCAGAATATTGAGAGATTCCAAACTTCAAAACTTATCTCACCTGCTTAATCTCCGGTGTCTTTCGCACTCGCTCGGCTTCAATTATGCTGTGTTTATGTCTTCTCTGCCTTTATTTCAGCCTTTGACTGCAAGTAAACATAAATAAATTGTTATCTTATTAGTGCTGAGTGCTGAGTGCTTCGCAGTCGAACGATATTTGAATTTTTGGCATCGCGCGGCACGTTATTTAGTGCTCACACAACAATTGCAAATTGCAATCTTTACGTTTAATTTAGCGGCTGAAAGTTGCGCGCAATTAAGCAGCCATGCAATGCACGAATTTATTTTATTTACAGGTCACACCCAGTATGGGAAACTAATCGAAATCAGAGATAAAACTGTTGGTAAAACCCTATTTACATATATTGAATATCAAGCGAAATCTTTCATTAACTAGAACATTTAATTACGATTGTTTATGTTTAAAGTGTATTTAAATAATATAACAAGACATTACTATTAATTATTAATTGATTTATTAACAATGGCAATGTAGTCTCTATTTAGCAAATATTTAAAAGAAAATTCAGCAGCAAGTCTCCAAAAAATATGAAATAGTTTGTATCAAAGGATATTTATAATCAGGGCATACGAAATAATTTCTATTTGAAATACAAATTAACAATACAATCATATGAACATAATCTGAGCTGAAATTTTATTAAATAATATCATTATAATGATTAATCTTTTCCATTTAGAATTTAGTTAAATTCTTGTAAGTTCCCTTGACCCTGGTTTCACTGTACTTTATTTTATTTCTATTTATACGTCCAGTTGAATTTGCATCGGTCGCTTTGCAGATAAACAAACGCTGCGCTGCGCGGCGTGCCTATCGGATCGATTGGGCGTGGAGGCGGGAAATTCCGATGGGGGAATGCCGAGGGAAATCGTGGCTATATCGAGGGGTAAATCGGAAGCGGGAAGCGGGAAGCGCGGAGATGATAGGCTGGTTGAGGGGGAAAACTTCATTATCGCTCTGCGGGTGCGTGGGCGTATTGCAGAGCGTTGATTTCTTTGGCCGTAAACATTTCCGGGCCGAGGTGCGATGCAGTCGTGTGTGAAAATGATTTTAAAATTGGCGCTGGATTGCGCAAAGACAATCAAAAGGCAATGGGCGTTGATGATAATGGCGGGAAACAAAGGCAAAAGGGGCGAGGATTGCGGGGACACGGGCTACCAAAGTGAAATTTTGACAGCTTTTAATTGTGCAGCGAGGCGAGAGTCGTGCTGCCGCTGCTGCAGCATATATAAATTTATATATATATATATTGCCAAATGTATATATTTAACAACCCTTTTACCCGGCATGCAATTATCAAAACGCATCACGCGTCAGGGCCAGGCCGAAATGATAAGCGCAGGTAACTGCGGCAGGTGAAAGGGGGAAGGGGGGTTAAAAGATGCAGGGGGATGGGGAGCCAGGTGGCCAACTGTCAGCTTAACGCCTCAACGAGCAAAGTGAAGGCAAAATTGCATTTGCCTTGGAGGCCGCCGCAATTAACGCGGCATCATTTCTATCCAACTTGATGATATTTCAACTTGGCGGGAATTGGTCTCAGCTTAACCCCTGGCTTCAGATGGGTCTCTTTCAATTAAATATTAAATAGAGCACTAAAAACTAAAGCTTATACCATAAATATAATGTATTAAATGGAGATTGAAGTGAAGTGGAGACTGAAGTGGAAGAATCTATGCAATTGTTAATGAAATAACAATGTTAATTTCTAATATTTTTGACAAAATTCTGTGTAATGAAATTGTATAATTGTATACTAATATCATACATATTTTTTTTTATCAAAATCAAGGATAATATTAAGTTGAAATATTATAATAATTGTATAATTATAACTTGAAACCTTCACATTATTTTTAGAGCTTTCATCAAAACTTTCACCTCATATTTCTATTCCATTTGATAAATATATTTAAAAGGCCTGAAATCTGGCAATTTAGCGGGTTAATTGTGGTTTGGCTGGAGGCCCCAGTTTGAGCTAGTGCCGTGCGAATCATCATTAATAGACCAAAGTGAGAGTTTTCTAGCAGCAGTTGCTCCTTCCCGCCTAATGGCCAAATGAGTGCGCACTTTAAGCCGCCGAGAAACCGCCGAGGAGGAGCAACGCCATCATCAGTTGGCTGGATGATGGTTGGGGACTTGGGGCCCAAGGCCTTTTCAGCTATTTATAACGCACACACATCGGGCTTAATTAAAAACTGTTGAGCCCTATGCAAATGTTCCGCACCGTGGCCTGAGCCTGCTCAACAGCACTGCAAGGTTAACGAAGCATAAATCTCTGCTGATAAGCTACAATCAAATGCAATCAAACTAAATTCAATTTAATGGGCAAAAGTCTCGGAGCTGAGGAGTCAGGAACTAAAGAGTAGACGCCGCCAAGGAATCGGGGAATCTGTCTGCAATTCAAGTGAAATCAGCTGGAAGGGAGCGGAGCCAGCGACCAAATACAAATTGCCAGCTCAAGCTCGGGTTCAATCCCGCTTCAAGGTGGCCAAATATTGCTTGAAATTGATTAGATACGCCGACTGAAGTCGTAACTGGAGCCGGATATAGGAGTGGGATGGAGTATCTTAAGAGCTGGAAAATCAAAAAGGAAACTAAGTTTGCCTAGGATACTTTTCTAAACAGAAAACTGTTGAATTTAAGCAGACATCTTTTACAGCAATATTCTTCATGTTCAAAAAGCATTATAAACAGACTTAAATCTAACATAAAACAAGCGAACTTGGTTGCTCCTGATCCCGTCAAGGTTGCCCCATAATCGCGTCCCTTCCGCTGGTCTTTATAAATATTTATATTCCCGTCAGAGGCGATGCATGCTGCTGCTTTTCTCGGAGCAGCAGCAAAGTGAGCTTCAGCGAGTGGGAAATGCGTGGAAAGCCATCGCGAATTGCGATGCGGAAAATGCAACGCCAGCGACAGCATCGCTAGAGCTGGTTTGCAGCTGAAGCTGAGCATTCCCCTTCCATGTTTTCCCCCTGCGATTTCCCCCAGCAGTTTTCCCCCACGAATAGCTCCCCCACTTTGCTGGCAATTCAAGCGTTGCGAAAACGTTTCTGCCCTCTGCTTTTTGCCCTCTGTCTAGTCTATATCCGTCTATATCTTCACTGCACTCTGCGCCCATTTCCCAGCCCCGATTTTATTGCCATCGAAAGGCTCGTCGATAGACAGCGACCGCAAAGCTAAGCCTCTCACACTGGGATAAAAATTAATTAAAAAATTAACACAATATTTAAAGTAGAAATTAATAAGGGAAAAGGAAATTTGGATCTTTTAATGTTCATTTAAGGAAAGTAGTGGATAGTCTCTGAACTATGAGAAATGCTATCGTTCTATTCAATAAAAGTGGTTTAAATGTATAGAAAATATTATGAAAAACATCAAATTCTTTGTAATACGTAAAGTTTTTGAATTTATATTTCAAATTTAACTTTTCTTACATCACATTTTTCGTTGAAAACTAAATGATTGACATTCGAATGTTCACAGAAACTTATTCAAGCTGAAATTCATTGATTGACAAGAGGCTAACTTCATTCAGAAATTTCCTAGAAAATCTATACTCTTAGCTTTCAGTTTTCCCTCGGTGTACCTAAAATGTTTTCCCGTCCTGTGTTTTTTTTTTGGTGGAAGACGACTGCCTTTCGCCTTCGCCTTGCACACAACTTGCCGAATTTCTGTTTGTCTGTGTGTTTGAGTGAGTGTTTGCTTAACATTGTTCGATATTTGGTTCAGCGCCTGTTCCCGCTTTTCCTTCGACTTTTCCACCCGCCTGTCCACGACTTTCCTTCTGGCTTCTGTTCATTTCTTGACTTGGATGTTTATCTTCAATGATTTGCGATTTTCCGGCAATTTACGCAAAAATATGTGACGAAATTTCAGCACTCCCCTCACTTGCAGTATGGAGTGTGTGTATGTCTACTGAACTGCAACAGTTTCGTGTCTTTTTATTTCATTTAAAAAATATATATATCTATGTATCTTTCCGCCACAAAGTTTATGCGTTGCGAGCGTGATGTCAGAGCCCCAAAAATTTGCAGAGGAAATTAGCGTGCAAAAATGTTGATGGCAAATATTTGCTGCGGAACCCCCCGTGACTTTTGGGTGAGGGGGACTTGACTTGAAGAAAAAAAGGAAACATCTCCCACGCTTTTCCATTTGCTTAACGAATTTTGTAGATTGTCTCTGGCATTTGGCTGCAGTTAATTGAATTCGAAAGGTGAAAGGAAAACAGACGGCGACGGAATGAAATGGATTGGGATGGGATAAATCGGATCTGAGCGATAGCAACGAAGTACTTTATTGGCTGATTTATGGAAGAGAGACAAAAAAAAAAAACGAAATGGCTGAAAAGGGATTCGGTTAGCAAGAGTGTTCGAATTTGTAATGCGGAACCGGAAGTCATAGGCATTAGGGTTTGTTTAAAATTGAAAAGTGAATCACCCGAAAATTTATTTACCTTAAAATTCATTTCAGCAAAAGAAAGTACATCCTCACTTCCATTTTTAATGGGCAAACAATAATATTTGCCCCTTCAACAAGTGGTTATGCATAAAAATTGTACAAATAAAATATTTAATTTAAGGCCCTGGGGGGAAATGCCTGCCTGCAAGCATCGCCCAAGCAGCCACATCATCATTATAATCATCGTTATCTCGGAGATAATTGTCGCCATTGTCGTCGGAGTAATGATCATGTGCTGATTTGATAATTAAAAGCAAACATTAAGTGAGGGAGAAGGAGACGGAGACGACACAGCACAAGCAGCACAAATACTAAAAGCACCATAAAATACCAGCACAAAAAACAAGGCAAAACAAAAGCAAACGATATTCCTAAATGCCTGCAGGATTGCTCAGCGACGGCGAAGGAAGCTTAGCCCCTGCTGACCAATAGAGCCAGAGTTTACTACTCCCTTTTCTGCCAGTACACACAAAAAAATCTATTTAAATTTCGAATCTAATATAAGAAATATAGGAAATAGTTGAAGAACTTTTTATTCACTTGATTTACAGTGTTATTGGTTCTCGTTTTATGTTCCTAAATGAGTGTTAATGGCTTTAGATA